GTGCAGACGCACACGTACTAGCAGTGGTCACGGTGGAGGAGACAGGCCCACCGGAGCACTTATGCCCACACCTGAGTGTGCACCTGCTGGCTGGCACCTGGCAGAGCCTCACTTACAGGCAGCTGCTGAGCTCCCCCGGCCTGCGGCTCCCCCTTGGGGGAGCCATGGAGCACCGTTGCTAGCTTGGGAAGTGAGCCCTTCCCGGGTTCCTTCTTGACCTCCGCCCCAGGAGAGGGATGAGCCGGCAGCCCTCATTCCAGTCCTGAGCCCTGGGCACACAGAGCTTCAGCCCAGCCACCGGGCAACCCGTTCGAACACTCTCCTCCCCCGCTGCTCCTCCAGTCTGTAAATAACGGGGAAACTGAGGCTCAAAGCAGTTGGCTGCACGCACAGGAAGCTCGCCAAGCCCTTGTGCGCATTGGGCCGGGCTGCAGCGAATGGAAACCACAGCCCCAGGCCTCCTGCGAGCGGAGGAAAGCGAAGCCAAGCGCATCTCGGGCACCTCTGGGTCCCGATGAGCCCAAACCAGGTCAAAACTTGGTTCCCGGCTGCTGTTTGGAACACACGGGTTCTCAACGCGTCCATCCACTGGGGTCTCTGCTAGGACCGCAGGAATGCAGCTCGGGGAGGAGATGTGGGTCAGCAGGGCAGAGGGCGAGGAATCAGATGAGGGCTGCTTTTGCAACTCGGATCCGGTTGACCTCAGGTATCTACACAGCTCCGTGAGGCAGTGGGAAGGGGCAGCTGCCGGGCTAACTGGAGCAAAGGGGAGATGCTGACCTTAGCTTTGGGGTCTGAATTCCATATGCATCCGGGGAAGAGCAGAGAGCCAGAACAACCCTTGAGAGCGAGACTGACCCAGCCTCGGCCATTAGGGACCCTCGTCCTGTCCTTAAGCATTTGCTGCCGGCCGGGCCAGGGCGGGGGGAAGGTAGAGCCCCTGAAGCTTTAGTGAGCTGCCCTGGACAAAAACACTTAGCTCTTCACTGGCTGCGTTGACAGGAAGTGACCAAGGGGGCTGAAGGGAACGGAAGGTGGGCTGTGGGTCTGCCCTAATTCTAGAAGCTTCTGGGGAGAGCCAGAGTACCGATTACCAGGCCCACCCAGCACCGGGCTATAACAGAGGGACCCCCTTACTGCAGCCAGGAGCCCAATCCAAAGCTGCCCAAGGGTGGAGAGGTCTCCCAGGAGCTCACCCGGCACCAGACGGGTACTCCGACCCCTCTGCACCCTGGGGCCGGGGATGCGCGGTGTCCCCAGCGCCACCTCCGAGCACCCCCAGATGCTCCGGGCTGAGCGGGAACCCGGGAGGAGAGTTTGGAAAGGCGGGGGCGGCGGTCCAGGAGGGCAGCGAACTGCCACGAAGCCCAGAGAGCAGGGGAGACCCAGAAAGGCTCAGAAAGGATGGCGATGGCCCGGATCGAAGAGCAAAGGAAGAAAAGCGTCGGAGACAGAGGGAAGCGCAGGGCTGCGGAGCGCTCCGCGCGGGGCGTCCACCCTGCCTTCTCGCCGCGCCTCGCCTGGCGCAACAGGAGCGCCCCGCCGACCAGTTAGGCTTGCACAAAAGCCCGCGCCCCAGGAGCCCTTGCCAGGCCTCTGGGGCTTGATTCATTTCTTCACTAATTAACTGGAAGCTACGCGGCCCGGTCTTTCAGGGCTCAATTAATTCGCCGCGGGCGGTGGGGCGGAGGCTGGGCCGCGGAGGCGCCTGCCCACCGCCCTTTTGTGCAGGGCTGTCTGGGCCGTATTGATCACACACACACACACACACACACACACACACACACACACACACTCACTCACGCACGCACACACTTTCCCCCTCTTTCCTCGAACCACACACTCACAAAAGTCTTGGATGATCCCCTGGAAGTGCAGAGCTTAAGGTTCTGTGGGGCTCGCACCTCCTACCCCTCCACCCACCCACAGCTGCCTTTGCTGTGAGTGAGAGGCCGAGATAAGGTGGTTTCCAGACCCGCCTGGGTGGGGTGGGGGAGGTTAATGGAAAGTTTTCCCCCAAAGGGCAAAGTCGAAAAGAAAGCAGGTCACTCCTGTGAACCTACTGTGTGACACTGACGTTTACAGCTTCGTTCCCATTGTCAGCTAACGAGGCCGTCGGGCCCCAGGCTGGAATCCCAGCTCCCCCACAAAACCAGCCGGGCGACCTGCGGCCATGTCTTTGTTGCGCTGTTTGTCTCTGTTTTGTCACTTGAAAAAAATGGCCATCGCCGAGAAGATGCCTGATTCCTTAGATTACTGTCTTGGATGATCGGACAGCACCCTCCTCCTGGGGATTCGCAAATACTGTAACAAACCCATTTCTCAGATGAGAAGTTCGGGCAAAGGGCCGAGGGCTCCGGGCTCGGTGATGGTGATGGAGAGGGGTCGGTTCAAGAACGAAATCCAGCCTGGAGCTTCGAAGTCCTCCGGACTCCGCAGGAAATTCAGCCCTGTGCGCCGCCCGGGGTGGGGGTGAGTGACCCTCTCCCCGCCTCAGCTCCCCAGATGGGACTTTTGGAGTTTTCCCGCCCACCCTGATCCCCTTCCTCAAGTCCAGCAACCACAGCCAGGCCCGAGGAACCCGAAATCCCCAAATCTTCTGGGCGGTGCTGAGCACGCAGCCTCTTCTCTGTGGCCTGGTGGCGGGGCCTGGAGGTCGGCATCGATTGTACTGACCTCACGATGGGCTTGCTTGTCTCCTCCATCCATCAACTGAACGAAGTCTAGGACTCAACACAGACTAAAGGCAATCACAGGCTTCTTTGTAAAGCTGGTAGGAAGGACGCTGTACTATGTCAGTGCAGTGCTTTCGGAAATCAAGCTCCCCCTTCCACGCCCCCTTACCTTGTGGCTGATTTAGTTTTTAAATTCTTTTTTTGTAAAACAGAAATTAAACAAGAATTCGTTTATTCGGTCAACAAACATTTGATGGTCACGCTGCATATGCCAGAGATTTCACTGGACACCGGGGAACTAATGTGGCAGCAAGGTAGAAGCTCAAAGCGGTGGGGGCAGGATTCTGGAAACCCCTTACTGTCCCTTTTAATAATGTGTCACTGGGGAGACTCCTTTGCTATTTATTCCGAAGTTTTCCAGTTTATGAAGAGATGCGGTAGTGCAGACCGAGGAGGCTGAGGCGGGAGAGTGCAGAGGTCGGAACCTTGGCGTTAAGAGCTGGGCTGGGCAGATCTGAGAAAGTGTAGACTCGGCCACCTGTTTGTACAGCTCCTGGGGTGACCTGGCCAGCCGGGTGCATAATGCGCACAGGGCAAAGCTGCCAGGCAGACAGCACCTGAAAGAAACCGCCCACCCCACCTCTCCGCCGAGGCAGAATATCTGTCTCCCAGAACCCTCTTGATCGGTGGATTTTTCCAGCCCTCACTCACACCCAGCCTTGCTTCCTACTGCTTTCTCAGACTAGGGCTGCTGGTCCCCATCGGATTTCACACTCAGATTCTGTCTGTGGGCACGGAAGCAGCTCCTAAGTTTGACGCTGGCTCTTTAAAACGCATTCTGGATGTGGTCGCTGGTTTTCAAAAGCAGGGAGAATGTCCCTTCCTTCTCTGACCTCCGTTCCTGTAGAGAGTGGTTGTTTGCCCAGCACCTGACAGTTGCCAAGTGCAATGAACAGAGAGGAGACGTGAGCCCCACCCTCCTGCAGCTCACAAAACAGGAGAGCTGACACTAGACTCTTACCCCAACCGCGCACCGAGAGCCTTCCTGTAATCGCGGTTGGCTGTCTTCCCCACCCCCAGCTCTTTAAGTAACTTTTGACAAGATCATAAACCCTGAGGAGTGCCTGGTAGGTACACAGCACAAACTCATTAAGTGTGGATGGATTTATTCGTCCCTGTGTTGGGGCCAGTCTGAGGGTTTAAGCACCTTGACAGAGCCCCTTGCAGTGACCGTGAATACCACTGGTTATGAGCCCTGCCCAATCCCCAAGGGGCCTTAGACCCTTCTTATTTTTAGTGTTTGTTTTTTTTGGAGACAGGGTCTTGCAATGTAGTTCGGGTTGGCTGTGAACTCACTACATAGCCCGGCTGGCCTTGAACTCATGATGATCCTCCTGCCTCAGCCTCCTGGGTGCTGGGATGATGGACGTGCAACCCTTATTATTACAGAGTCATGAGGCTGGAATGTGTCTCAGCCCTGGTGGCTACTAATTCCAGGTACGTTCAGGTCAGTCCCTAGGCTAGGCCAGCTACTCAAATTTCCAACCAGCCACTGGGGCCCAGCAGGCACCTGACCGGTCCTTTTTTTTTTTTCTTTCTTTCTTTCTTTGGTTTTTTTGAGACAGGGTCTCCCCATGTAGTTCAGGCTGGCCCTGAATTCACAGTGATCCTCCTGCCTCAGCCTCCCAAGCCCTGGGATTACAGGTGTGCGCCACCATGCCCAGCTCACCTGAGTAGTCTCTGCATGAAAGGGCCCAGTGTGGTGAAATTCAGAGAACCTTAGTGTTATGTATCTCTACACTTGTCTTCCTTTGAAGACACTTCTCCCTGTGGCCCAGCACACACACACACACACACACACACACACACACACACACACACACACACACTGCAAGTGGATTCTTAGACACCGGGAACTAATTTCCCTGATAATCCCCTCTCCCCTGCTGCCACCAGAGTCCCTGTCCCCCTTCCCAGATTTGGCCCCGCTCTGAGTGACCCTCTCCCGACCCAGCCTCCAAGAAAAGCTTGGACTTCCCAGTGTGTCCAGCCCCGTGACCTCAGAGGCTCGGGACTGAGGCCTCCGCCGCGCGCCTGTCACCGCAGATCCGATCAGGCCTCGCCGACACCCACCAGCCGCAGCCACATCTCCCTGAGCGCCATCCAGCGGCCACGCGGCGAGGACACCTGTCCGCGGAGCGCAGGGTGCGGGTTTCCAAGGGGCGGCCGTCCCCGCCTCCACCTTCCCCCTGCAATCAGGGCGCCTCCGTCTCTGCGCCTCCTCACCTGCCCCCCTTCTCCGCTTGAGACAGATTCGGGGTCACCTAGCGTTCAAGTCCCCCCTTTTATTTATGCACAACATCTGCACTGGACAGGCCACGCTGAATGAAAAGCGGGGGGAAGACAAAGGTTTTGCGCCACCGCGCCTGGAAACTTCGGCCACGGCTCCGAGGGTTCGGCCGGGCTGGGTCACGCTTGCCGGGGACATGTCAAGTCCTGCCTTTTTAATTCTACACCTATGACCTTATCCGGGCGGGAGTCAGGCGCCTCGACTCCCTGCCCTTACATGCACCATGGACTGGAAAACTTCCTCCCCGAGGCCGGGTGGTGGGTGTCGGTGCCCCCGGGTAGACCGCCTCTGGGAGTGGCAACGTCGCCGTGCGCGGAATCCTAAATGCAGAGGGAGGGGAAATGGCATTCTCCGTACACCCGGAATGTTATCGCTAATTTTTTGGAAAAGTGCCTGTATACACACATATTATATATATTATTGAGCGGGTTAGTGGGAGACTAAAAACATCGAACAACAGCGAGGAGGGGGCCTATGCTCCAATTCCTGGGTAATTTGTAACAGACAGACCTCACTGCTGGGAGAGAGACCGGAGTAACTGCGTAGCTGCAAAATAAATTTAACTCTGTCTATAGTGATCAAATAGGAGTCTGCCCGTGGGGTGTGACTGCGATGCGTCTTTAAATCTGAGATTTAATTTCATGCGCTGGGCTACTTGGAATGCCCGTATGTACACACTTGTGCCCACAAAGAACATTTTAGAAGCACGCGTGTGGATTCTTTTACGTTTAAATAATGCAATGGGTAAAAGCTGAGGGGGCAACTCGGCACGGCTCAGTAAGCTCGCCAAACACGAGGCAGGTCTGACCTGAAGCTCTAGGAGGGTCCTGGCGCTGGGCAAGCCGGTGCCCCTCTCCTCCAGATCCGGTCTGGAGCCGTTCTCTAATAATCCAGCCAAAGGGAATTCCTTCGGCCCCACACGGCTCTGCCACCCAAGGCCTGCCCCTCAGACACCAACGCCCCTATGGTAGAAAATGTTGTCTGTGTCTCTTAAGCCAATCATGACCTACAGGAAAGAGGTCTTTGCTTGACTCCAACAGTTCTAAATTTTGGCTGGAGAAGCCTGCCCGGGTTGCTCACGGCACTCGTTCGCGAACATGAAAGTGAACGCGGCGTCCTATTTTGACTTGTCTGGGAGAAGAACCCGAGCGCCGCGCCGTCCTTTTTCCTCTTCCCTTTTCTGGAAAAGCATCACAGCCGTAGGACGTGGGGAGGGGTGAGTGGGAGACGAAGTCGCTTGGAACGAAAAAGGAATGAAAAGAAAAGGGAAAAAAAAGAAGGAGGCATTATTTACACCTGTGAAGCTGGGGTGGCTGTCTTCGGCCCCAATTGACTTAATTGTAAATCTTTTCCGCATGGCCCCAAGTCCTGGACCCGTCGTCTGGGTTTAATAAGGCGCCCCGCTTGCAGCAGGGCTGGGCTGCGGCGAATCCCGGCCCCACCCCGCCCCCACCCCGC